GTTGGTGCCAAAGTTGTTGTTCTTGAGCTAAGCTTGAAGTGACTTGAAAAACCTTGGGAACTTGAATATGCTTGGAAAGATAGTAGAGACCATTTAAGAAAAATCCTTCACCAATCGTCTTCTTGGTGACTACATCCTAAAAGATCACATTTTTGGGAGAGAAAATGACAAGACAATTTAATGAGTTTGTGATCTTGCCAACAGATAAAAGTTGAAAAGGGAATGAGGGAACATAAAGAGCCTCATACTCGACATCACTTGAGATCAAATGTATTTTTCCTTTTCCCACAACCATAGCATTTTTTCCATTGGCAACTGACACTAGAGATGGAATAGAAAAATTTTCAAATTTATGCAAGTTTGTAGACTTGTTAGTATATGATCAGGGGCTCCAGAATCTATAATCCAATAATCATGCACATTACCAATATTGAGAGCAGTTGAGAATGAGTGTAAGATACCTAGGATGTCCCTTTGTACCACGCCTTCATTTCCAGCCAGGAAGCCAGCAAACTATCCTAGTATTGCAGTTTGATTGTTGTCACACTGATTTAGTGGTCCTTCACTATCTCCAAGACCTTGTTTCTTGTGAAGAAACATAGCAAACTCGTTGATCAATGCAGCTAGATTAATGGTGAACTTCAGTGCTCCCTCAGAAGCAGTTGTGGCAACATGATTTGCCTTGTAAAAAGGGTTGTACGAGCCTTTCGAGACACCTTTATTATCCCAATACATTGAGGGGAAACTTTAAACTTCTGAAAGTATTGGATTTCATGGATGCTCCAATCAATCAACTTCCAAAATATGTGGGGGATTTGTATCTCTTGACGTACTTAAGCCTGAGGAATACAAAGGTGGAGTTGCTTCCAGACTCCATAGGAAATCTGCTAAATTTAGAAACGCTGGATCTAAAACAGTCTTTGGTGTATGATATACCAACCAAGATTAATAAGCTTGTTAAGCTGCGGCATCTTTTGGCCTACTATCGTGACAATAACATGGGTTTTTGCGTGAATATGGAAAAAAGAGTGAAGATTCATGAAGGTATTGGATGCTTACAAGCTTTACAAAAACTAGGCCAAGTGGAGGTGAATCATGGATGAATCAAACTAATCAAAGAACTGGGAATGTTAAGGCAGCTGCAGAAGTTAGGCCTAAACAACTTGAAAGGGGAAGATGGAAGGGCTCTGTGTGCTTCTATTGACAAGATGAATCACCTTAAATGTCTAGATTTAAATGCAATAAGTGAAGATGAAGTCCTTGATCTAGAATCCATTTCAACTCCACCAGAATTTATTCGGTCTCTGTACTTGATGGGGCGTTTAGAGCAGTTGCCAAGTTGGATTTCAAATCTTCAACACCTCGTCAAATTGGGGATTTATCTTTCAAGGTTGAGAGATTCCCCATTGAAAGCCCTTCAAAATCTACCTAATCTGTCGGATCTTCGTTTGGGACAAATGGGATATGATGGCGGGCAACTGCATTTTGAGGGAGGAGGATTTCAGAAACTTAGGAAGCTAAAACTCGGGGAAATGGAGGGACTAAATTCACTGATCATAGACAATGGGGTTATGCCTCTTCTCCAAGAGTTCCACATTGGACCCTGCCCACAACTGAAGGAGGTGCCGTCTGGCATCCACCATCTCCGAAATCTGAGATATCTTTGGATTTATGACATGCCGAAGGAGTTTGCACAACAAATGGATCCAAATAATGGCCCACATTATTGGATTGTTAGACATATACGACATGTTGTTTTTAGTTACAAGTTTGACCCAGGATCTGGCGAATATGAAAGACACTCCCTGTATGATTCCGACTTTTCGTTTTGGTCGAATGCCTGATTCCAACTTGATAAAAAATATGGGGGTGTCTAAATTGTTAGCTCTGCTATCCTTGTGTAGGTGTGGTGTGGTCATTTTAACATTTTCATTGTAATTTTATTGGTGGTTATAATAAATTGTTTTTTTAATTAAAAATTAAAATAAAAAGCTATCATCACCTCAAACTCGAAATGGTCAAATGACATGATAAAATTTTATTGATTTTTTTTTATGAATGAATCAAGTTTTTACAGAAGATAAGTGGCAACTATTTACCTCGTATCTTTGCTGTAAAAATGAATAAAAACCGTTCAAATTTTTGTGGGTCTTGTCCCTTGATCAACATTTCAATTAACTGAGAAAAGTAATAAGATTGAAGAACATGATTTAGTAAATTCAACTTAACCTAAAGATCCATATTTTTTTCTATTTACCAATTCTTTACTATTTTATTTTCTTGATATTAATTTGTAGGATTGTGGATTTTAGAAATTTTGTTAACCAAAGGGTAGATTGTGAATTTTAGAAATGTGAAGTGTAAAGCCTTCTCCTTTTGCATATACAGATTAAGTCAACCACATATATTTATTATAGTTAAATATTCATGATATGATATATTTGGAATGACACACCCCGATCCTAGAATCAAGACGTTTTGGCCGTCACGTGAGCGTGACGTAACCAAGAATGCGATGCGGAAGCATAAAGGATAGACGAAAATACGAATGAATAAAAACCAACTACTAGCACTAATAACCAACTAGCATACTAGAGTGAGTTTAAGTGTGAAACACACATGTTCAGAGCATAAGTACTAGGTACAGTCAAGTAGGAACATTACTAAATTACAACACCCGAAGGTGAGTCCTACATGCAAGTAGTCTGTCAGAACGTCGTGGGAAAATCCTCGTGAGCCACCAACACAGCTAACTAGAACCTGGATGGGCGCAAAACAAGATTGAGTGGGTCAATAAAACAAAGCTTTTCGAAAACATTTCATTTAATAACATTTCTAACCCCTCGCTGTAAAACCTGTATACTTTCCCAGAAAATAACATAATATGCATATAAATCTTCAAATATCTCAATTCACCAATCTTTATCAAAAACCAGAAAGTATGCCATGCTGTAAGTGTCAATAACAGAATAAGGATGCATCAAAATAACAGGTGAAATAAGGAATCAATCGGAGACCCTGCAGCTGTCCTGTACGGTCAATTCTATAGCTCAATATCCAATCCAATCGGAGTCACCACTGTGACCTGTACGGCGCTACTCTGCACATAAATCAGAACTACCTAAAGTAGTCTGTACGATAAGAATGATGTAAGACTACGCTCTAGTGCTTCTCTCATCAACAACTGTATAATAATCTAAGATCATCTATAAGTCGGAACCACCTCTAATGGTCTGTACGACATGTCAGAACCCTCTAATGGTCTGTACGACATGCACCTACTTGGATCCAAGGTGAGCGTGTGGTGCGGGGTGAATAATATAAGCACTAACACCAGGGGTGCATGTTATGAGCTCTCAACACAATTCACATCATCAATAAATCGTATGAACAATATAAACTCACATGATACTCACCTGTGCGTCCACATCACCATTTAACATATATATGCAACAATTACTAATTCATATATTTCATATATATGTATGCATGGCATTTTAAAACATACTTTCATTTAAATTCAATTTCTAGGAAAAATCAATAGTATATAGGTAAATACAGAAAATACTGCCCACTCACTGGTAAGTCGAAGGGTCGTAACCCCCGTGACGCCCTTGAACGCGCTCGTCCTCGAGATAGGTCTCACATATATACGAAACAATTATAAAAACGTTATTTAAATCATATAACCAACAATACGTAATAACTTCTCATACGATACTCAAATTGGGTATATGAATATACCATAGTGACCTACTCAACGTCACGAACGTCGAGGTATTTTTAGAAAAAAATTTCAATGCTGCACGCGCCCCCATGCGCGTCACCTTCTTCCTCCAGTCGCCGGATTGGTTTTGTCGGCGTCAGAAAACTGGAGATTTTTCAAACTCCAATTTCTCCGTCGATTCTCCACCATTTTTTACAAAATTTACATCAAAATGAAACCCTAAGCATGTAAAATCACGATATACTACTTTAAGGCTAAAAAACAAACGAAATGTCACCGGAGAAAATCCAAGAAAACCGGCCAACTTCGAACCCTACGATCCCGACGTCCAAAACCTTCAAACTAAGTACTACAAGCTTCCTTAGGACCTCACTAAGCTCCCTGTAATCTTAGAATTCCCTGAAAATCAACATTTCACATCCACATGAACAGTACTCAAAACTTGGGGTTCGGGTTTCAGGGGTTTTCGAAGGTTCTAAGTTCCAAAAATGGTACCAATGAACTCACAAGCTTTCAAGGATTCTAAAACTCACCTTTTTTACGTCGATCCGTGATGTTTTGAGGGATTTTGGTGCTCGTCCGTACAATTCAAAGGGAGAGAGAGAGAGAGAAACTGAGAGGGAAGAGAGAGAGGGCACGGGGTGAGTGTGTTGTCCCGTGTGTGTGTGTGGTCCACCCAAAACAAACCATAATACAAATTCCTTGAAGTCCCTAACCACACAAATTGTATACAACTTTTAATCCACTTAAAATTTTCCAATAATTTAGGAGAGTATGCAATATTCAAACAACATGTCACACGTACCTTAATAGCCTTTAAGGGCACTTCCGTCATTTCACATCCACGATAAATAAATTTCGGGTCGGGCTGTGACATGGAATGCATAATATGCATTTGTACATGTATCCTCGCATGCAAATGTAGAAAAATAGTTCTTTATGGTTGTTAAATTTGATATACTTATTTACATATGGAATTAAAATTAAAAAAATAAAAATAAAAATTGCTTATTGGCTTATTTGGCTTGAAAATTACAAAACTTGAGATTCTTATGTCATTTAGTCTAAACATTCTAAAATTAACCAGCTCATCATAGTATCAAAATTCAACTGCTAAAGGTAACTTTAGATGCATCCTATAAGTCTATACCCTTAAAACTCCCATTTAGTTAGGCACAACGAACGAACATGTAAGGTGAGGGCCCACAAAACAAGCGTTTTGGGGTAGAGGAATGGAGCCCACCATTTCGATTAAGGTTTCACATCAAGCTTAATCAAAACTTCTCCGTACATATACATACACATATTTATATATAATCTCTCTCTCTCCTCATCTGTTTCGGAATTTTGATTTCCCAGGAAGGTTTCGAACCCGATCGTTTCGTCGGAAGTCCCGAAAGCTTTTTGAGAACGGGAGAATCAGCAATGGAATAAGACATTCCAGAATATTATGATATAAATTACTTTTAAAATTCGCTGGCTCATTTGCCTGAAAGCTGGTTCAGAGGGAGGGGGAGAGAGAGATGGTGGAGTTCGTTAGGGAGGCTTTCGAGGGGGGAGAAATTGACATGGACCATGAATTCGATGCGCCCAAGTTCTTCGATTTCACTCGGCCGGAGACTGGTCTGGAGGCCGAGGAGGCGGAGGAATGGTTCCTGTCAGGAGGTTATCAACCCTCGCGTAAGCGATTTCAAAAACATTGGTTTGCTGTTCTCCTAGTCATGTCCCAAAACAACGAATTTTTTGATCATTTTCTATGCTTACCACATCAATTGATCATCGATTTTGCTAATTCATTTCAATATCTGTATGTTTAGTTCATGCATCTTAACTATATTACATTGTTTACGTGAACAAGTTAGAGATTAAGAGAATTATAATTATTTGTAATTTGATAAATTAACCACTAACTCTGTTTTCTCTTCGGTTAATTGTCCCTTGTTTAAATCCATTAGCTTTCCTTGAAAAATTGTTGAATTGGCAAAAAGGGATTCATCCGGAACCTGTAAAAAACTCCGCCGAACCAAAAGACGTTGAAGAAGTTGAAGTTATCAGATGTATTGACTCAAATAATTGCATGGAAGCGGAGGTCTCTGCAGTAGTAGACGATAATATTAGAGGTACATTTTCATTTTTTACTACTGTGTACTTCTGCATCATCTTCCCATTTCTTATTAAACTTTCGAATTGATAATATTATTTCTGTTTTCTAAATCGGCTTCGCATGAATTAGTATACGAAGTTGTTTCTTACTGTCATGTTTTATGGTGTTTCGACACGATTAGAACTCCCTATTCACATGGCTCAAGACACTCCAAGCGCTAAACCAAAGTCCCCGGGCAAGTCACCACCTCTATCAAGGAGTTCAACGCTAATGAAACCCACGGCAAGTCAGCTGGCCAAGCAAAAGCACCGCCGAGAAGTTCACTCCAACCGGTTATTAAGGAGGTGCTAATTTTTTTTGTCTCAGATGATATTTCTGTTGTCATCAATGTATTTTTGGCTCTAATTGTTTGGTGTTTCCTCTAACTAGTGCCTTTTTCTGACTCTTGATTACACAGAGTGGCGAAAAAGCTCGGGAAACTTGATGAGAAATCACAGAATTCTCCACCACCTACGAAAAGACAGAAGTTGGAGGCTGGCTATGTACGCAAGGTGCACTTGAACATTTTTTCATTTGATAGTTTTTGCATCTCTGATCTGTTTGATCTTTGCTGAATCGCGTACTTTATTATGATCGATATGAGGTTGTTACACTCAAGTCGAATAGCGTATTTAATCCACCCAGTTGCGATTAACGAAGTTCAATAGTTTATGAACCTTTCATAAGAATTTCTGAAGGGCTCTCTGTGCATCTGTGAAGCAGGTTGCTGAACAGCTCAAGCATCAACCTCTTTGGTTATACAAGGTGCCGAAAAAGGTAACCCACATTTTACGAAAACAAGGTTATGTGCTTTTGATCGTGAAAAGAACATTTTTGTTTCATCGAAATAAGAGAAAAATAGTTTTTCGTGGTGTCATGCAGGTCGGAGCTGATGCTGCCAGACCTAAAGTTACCGTTTCGAAGGAACCAAATTTGGAAACAGCAAATAGAGCACAAAGACGTAGGTACATTCACTTCTTGCATGATTTTGGTAAAATTAATATTTTGTTTGATGTATGAATGTCTACCTAATGAGCTTATAACACTGATTCAGGTATAAGGTTAATGCCAAACCAGGAGAACAATCAAAAGCAAGTTCATACTCCTTTTAACGTTCAAATTGAAATTGTTCATTACGCTTTGAACACGTTTGAGTTTATTCGATTTTCTGCTCTTTTATTTCTTTGATATTTTGGTCTGCAGATTCACAGGGCTCCTCCATGGCCTAGCCCGAAAAAGAGCACAATTCCAGCAACAGAGTTTCAGGTAATCATAGAACATTGTACCGTATTTCATTGTAGTGTCTTTGCGAGGGAGAGAAACCTCAGCAAAAGCTGCCCTAGTTAAGCTGTGTGATTCGGATGAGACCAAAATACATAAATATTTAACGACAAGGCCAGCCGCTCCTACTGAAGTTTTCTCTTAGCAAAATGACTTGACTTGCGGTAACAAACGCATTTCATAACGTTCTTAATTCTATTGCCATCAGGTGTTTTGCCTTCCAACATCAGCGCGAGCTATGTAACAGACATGCCATCATCACGTAACCCTCCAAAACTTGTCCGATTATTTGAATTTGAACTTTATTAATTTTTTGTGAATTCTTACGACGAAATAATATTGTCACTGCAGGTAACAAATGGACCTAATTCTAGTTATTTATCAGAAAATGAGACTACAGAGATCGAAAGGTAACTATCTCTGCCTTTTAGCTTTTCAAATGAATCCCATCTTTTGTAATGTCTGTATAGTTTTACCTTGCACTCATGGAATTTTTCCATCTTCAAATTTGATATTTACTTTTAAGGTTAATAATTTCAATAGTAAAGAAAAAGGCGATCCCAAGCCAACGAGGCTTCCCGCTTTACGAAGGTCGAGGGAACGTCTATCGTACGCGGAGTTATCCATGCTTTGCAAAGAGGTTGTTTCTATAAATCAAACCCGTGACATTTCGCTCACAAATGAGTAATCTTTCCGTTGCGTCAAGGCTCGCCCTCAATAATTCCAATTATAAACCCTTAAATCAAGAATCAAAACACTTTTGATTCTTGTTCTATGTAAGTAAACATGTCACCGGATGAGAATCGTTGCAGCTATCTAAATGTTTTGATATTACTGTTTTGCACAGGTCAAACTCTGTGTATGCCTTAAAGCTGGAGAAAAGTGGAATGGTTTATAAATGCGTAGCTTGCTCTCTTAAAACTAAGGTAATCTAACTCTGCCTCTTTTTTTTTTGTTTTTTAATGTGCATAATCTTAATGCCATGCTTTAAAGCAACAAAATTTTGAAAAACTTAAACTAACTGGTTGAAAAACTTTAACTAACTGGAAGTCTTAATTGTTTCAGTAACTTTCCAGATCCGGTCTATAACTACAGGAACATCTTCTAGAGTCAAAGTAGTAAAACAACATCTGAACATCCTGGTTCTATATATGCAGTGGCAGGCTGAACCAGAACTCACATTGATCTCGGCAATGTTCAACAGCTCATCCCGTAAGTTCCCCTTTCTCACCATAGTAGCGAACCAACCCCCTCATTTCAGCCCAACTATAAACCAGCACTGCTCTTTGCACACTTGATGTCGGTCGCTCTCCTTTTTCGTGCATGCGTTACACGCATTTGCAGCTTATGTCGGTCGCTCTCCTTTTACATGCGTGTGTTACACGCGCTTGACATAAGAAAAAAAAAATTGTAATGGCGTTAGCATGACGTTATGCTGACATCAGCGTGTCCGCTAATGCAAGATCGGGCTTCTTTTTCTTTTGGACGGACTTTGCACGGCGCACCAGTTGCCCTTGCAAAATTGGACAGCTGGAAATGATTAAATGGATTGGAGGGCATGTTTTGGGTTCTTATCCTTGCCTCTACCAACCGATGAACATGCTCCAAAGTCAAGAAATTGTTGTAAAAAGAGGTGGAATAATGCCCTTAACTGGTATTGTAATGTGGTGGAATACTTTGTTTATGTAAATTTTGAAATTATCAGCTGTATGTCAGAATTTTTAATTTGATAATTTGAAAGGCTTCATGAATTATAAAGAGGCAGTTGTTTTGTTGGTGATTTTTAAAATTAAAGTTGGGTAGGTGTTGATGCAAAACCAGAGATAACCCGTTGGCTTTGTTAAAACAAAACATGCAATTTACTAGACAATCCCAGTTGGCGGCAATGGTTCGCTTGGAGTTCAGATCTGCTATGCCCAACCACTCTTTGTCCGCATCCTCTGTTGACAAGTGTTTTCTAACACTGTCAGCGGGAGAACGATGACAAAGGGTGGGCCGAGGAAAATTGGACACAACAAATATGAACTCGTTGATTTTGTTTTAATTGTTGACCTGACCTATTGCAACTACATCTCAACTCCCAGCTCAGCTATACGTACATTGTACATTGTTGACCACCTCTCTAACTCGAATTCTCATTCTCATTTCTCACCGTAGGGATAAGAGCAATTTAATCTGCTCATATATCAGCTAAATCCAAGGTATAAACCAGCACTGATTAATTACTGAGCAATTTAATCTGCTCATATTTAAGCCAAATCCAAGATATAAACCATCACTGATTAATTACTGAGCAATTTTATCCACCAGTTTTTGTGTTGGGAGAAGACAAGGGGGGGGGGGCGGGTTTTGTGTTGGGAGGAGAGAGGGGGAGATAATAAATCGTCTTTATTTTTTACTTTAAACAGTAATTTTTTTTGTTTTAAGTTCTTTTGTTTAGGAAGAAGAAGAACCAGGGTGATTATTATTTACAATTTTTTTTTTAATATTTGGTATGTGTGTTGAACTTTGTACCATTTTACCTTGTCACTCATTTTTTTTGCAACAAAAGGATTTGTGAAGTGGAAGAAAAATATAGGAGATTGTAGAAAAAATAAAGGAAGGTGCTATTCATACACACATCTGTACCTCCCACACACTCTTATTAGTCTTTTTTTATTGATCTTCTTCAATTTATTCGATCCGATAGCTAAAAATTGAGAGATGTGTGTGAGAAGCAAAAATAGGTGCGTGAATAGCACTATCTAAAATAAATATTGAGTTGTGGTGTGGTGAATGAAGAAGGTGGTTAGGTATTTTTATTTTTGGTATTTTTTTGGATTTGTTATCTTGGATTAATCCTGACCATTGATTTTCAAAATTATTGTCGTTGGATGCCAGAGATTTCTCCATGTGGCAGCAGAAGAAAAAATTCAAAATGTTGTACTGTTTGAAATCCAACGGTTCACAGCAAGCCACGTCAGCGAGCTGTTGGGGCTCTGCTGTTGGTTTGTTGCTGCGTGGCCTACTATCCCTGCAGCTGATATTTTTCACCCTCCTTTCGGCACACGTGTTACACGTACCTAACAGGAAAAGAAAAAATATCGTGACTGGCGTGAGCATGATGTTATGCTGATGTCAGCTTGCCCACTGACGCAAGGTCAGACTTCTTTTGCTTGGGCAATTAGACGAGCCATGTACAACCCACCAATTGCGCATCCTCGTATCCATAAAAGAAAAATCGATAATATCGGTGAAATATTGTCGATATTATCGTTTTTTTAGAGATCAGATATTTTTTTAACTTTCCAAATAATTTTTATCAAAATATCAAGATATTATCGATAATATCGCGATATTTTTGAAATTATCAACAATATCACCACATAATACTAAAAAATACTTAAATATGTTGAGAAAACTCAACACATACTTCACTTGACCATAGCCCAAAAGACGAACAAGATATGGTTTACTGAGTAGGGGAATGTGGGTTTTATAGGACAAATTGCGAGGGCAGCAAGCATGGGCAATGTGGGACTCTCCCAATAGGAGAAAATCAGAATTTCGGCCGAAAATTTACACCTACTTTAAACGGCCATAACTTTGTCAAAACTCAACGAAATCAAGCAAGAAAAAAACGAAAGTTGTAGCCCTCGAAGAGAAGAAGAGAATGGTACCTCACACGACGTCTGAATCATCGTGGTTTGGCCGGCAAATGCCTCGAAAGTCACTGAGATCGCCGGAAACTGGGTAAGATTCAAATGAGTATAACTTTTTTAATACTCAACGAAATTGAGTGAAACAAAAAGGAAAGTTGTACTACTCGACGAGACGAAGAGATTGATGCCTTGCACGCCGGCCAACTCGCCGTGGTTTGGCTGGAAATTGCCTCGAAATCCACTGAGGTCGCCGGAAATTGGGTAAGATTCAAATGAGTATAACTTTTTCAATACGCAACGAAATTGAGTGAAACAAAAAGGAAAGTTGTAGCCCTCGAAGAGACGAAGAGAATGGTACCTCATACGACGTCTGACTCGTTGTGGTTTGGCCGGAAATTTCCTCGAAAGCCACTGAGGTCGCCGGAAACTGGGTACGATTCAAATGAGTATAACTTTTTCAATACTCAACGAAATTGAGTGAAACAAAAAGGAAAGTTGTACTACTCGACGAGACGAAGAGATTGATACCTTGCACGCCGGCCAAAATTCAATTGACACACTCCTGGCTTCCAAAATTCAATTCTTTTACTTTATATAAACTTGAAAAAACATAATCGGCATCCAAATTAAAGTTTAGTCTTGTTCTTATGTGTAAGAAATTTAAAGTGTCAAATTCGGCACATTATTTTTCATCATTTTATTCACTTCCCTTTTTTTTTTAATATCCTAAATAAAACCTCCAAATATTGTACTAATTAATTATATATAAATGATTATGGTGTGTTTAAATTTCTTTCATTAATTACTACATATTTTCTACACTCACAATGTTTGCCAGCTCGCTATATAATCAACTTAAATCAGTTAAATCCATCATGCAATGCATTTCCTTCCAATTTTTTGTGATAAACTAATAGATAATTGACTAAATAAACATCCTACAAAGTTTCATTAAAAATTTCCAAGTTTTTCTTACAATTTCCGTGGTTTCCATGTAATTTTTATCGATATCGATATTATCCCGATATTTCCATCGATATTTCCGTGTTTTCGGACTACCGATATTTCCGATATTACCGATATTTTCTTCCTTGCTCGTATCATAACGATTTTGACTTTGAGATGGTTGATTTTGACTTCTTGCGATGTTGTCTTGATGACGAAGACGACGATAATGAAATGATTATTTTTCTTTTTTTTTTTCTATTATTTTTAGTAAGAATTAATTTCAAACTCTTTTTCTTTAAGAATAGGATTATCTCCCTTTCTATTTTCATCTATTTCCCTCCCCTCCTCTCATATATTGTTTTTTTGTTTTATTGTCTTTATAAAAAAAAAAGTAAAAAAAAATCAATATAAGATGTTGACGTGGTTAAACTGTAACCATTCAAATAGGAGGGGAGGGAAGATGAGAGATAAGGGAGAGAATCCTCCTCCTGAAAGAATAAGAGAGAAGAGGATACTAATAGGCAGTGTTTTAAAAATCTGCCTGGCAACGCCTAGGTGTTACACGACGGCTAGCCAATGCGATTAACCCTAGTCGGGAGAAAAATCGGCAGAGGAATTAGGCGAGCACCCGATACGGCCTAGGTAGTGCTTAGGCGGCATAGATGGGCAACTCGATGGCCTAGGCGACCTGGGTGTTTCAGATATTTTTTTTTTTTTGGCAGAAGCTGTGTTCTTGTTCTAGGTTCTGTTATGAGGAATGGGATTCTCTTTGGATTTCTTCCACCAAATCCACTAAGGCCCGTAATCCGGCTCTTGGAATTTGATCCAACGGTTAAAGTTATTATAATTTTTTGAAATTTATTTTTGTTTGTAGCCGTTAGATCAAATTTCAAAAATCCGAATTGATTGATATGGTGAATTTAGTGGAAGGAATCCAGAGAAGATTCCTTTTCCTATTATGGTTCTACGTTTTTTCAAACTGTGTTTCATTTAAGAAGACGAGAGGAAGAAGAAAAAAGAGAAATAAAGTTTCTCTCTCTTCCCATTCCACCCACGTGACAGACATGACAATCCACCTTTTTTTTTTAAATTACTTCCAGTCGATTCGAATTGGGAGTTGGAACAGAGTAAGGCCATCTCCAACCGAAGGGTCCAGAAGGTCAAAATAGCCCGAAACAAGTCTCCAACCGAGGGCTAGGCCAGAGGGTTCGTGGGCCCCACAAAATCTAAATGAGCCAGAGGGCTGGCCAGCCCACTTTGATTTTTTTTTTCTTTTCACTTGCTCAGCCCGGTTCCCTTTTTGTGTTTTTGTTATTTCAGCCCACTTTAGGGCCTTCAATTTTTGGGGTCAGCCCACTTTTTAGTTTTTTTCTTAACAACCCACTTTTTTTTTTGTCGTTTTTTTTAATTTCTAATTTTTTCCTACACCATTTCTCACATATTTTTTCACCATTCCATACTGTCTTACCTCATTTTATTTCAATTCTTCACATTTCATACTATAGTCTTTTGGCCCTCAGTTGGAGATGATTTTTTGTGATAGGGCTAAAACGAGCCATTTGGCCCTTGATTGGAGATGGAGGCAAATATGGCCTTATATTGTTTATTAAAATCTTAATATCTTGGAGAACCAGACGGTTAAAACGAGTCATCTGACCAGCATTCGGTTGGAGATGGCCTAACATATATTGAATTTGGTATGGTGTGCCCCACCTGCCTTTTTGGTGTGGTGCGCCCCATCTCCGTTTTGATAGAGATAATGTACAAATAGGATTGTGACACTTGTAATCAGATTAAGAGAGTTAGTTATAGTTGTTAAGAATATGCAACTGTAAGAAGGTTCAAGGATAAATACTCTCCTAGTGTAATATCTTAGATATTAAGCAAAGAAATAAGAAATATATCTCTCTCTATACATTTCTCTCTCGACTTCTCTCTCTAAGATCTTTGTCTATGATCTACTTCTTCTTGGTTTACATGGTATCAATCGCCATTGTTGCTCCCGCTGTTTTCTTCGATTCTTCGGTTGCTTCCGCTCATCTTCTCAACCTGTGATTCTTTCTATTCCTCGACGTCAACTCATTGCTGTGTGCTTGGATGGATTCTGGTATTCTTTTCTTCTTCTATGATTTCTTCTGTGATTTATCGGGTTTCTGGATTTCTTGATCTTCTTGCATCTGTGT